GGCTATGCCATTTTGCAATCTACCAATGGTACACAAGTGTTCCAGTTTCTCCACATCTTCACCAATACTTGTTCTTTTTTGTTGTTTTTATAATGAACATCCTAACAGATGTGAAGTAATATCTCATTGTGGTTTTGGTTTACATTTCCCCAATTGTTAGTGATATTGCACAACTTTTCATATATCTGCGAGCTATTTGTATGTTCGGTTTTGGTATTAGTGTAATGTTGGCTTCATAGAACGTGTTAGGTATTATACCTTCCTTCTCAATTTTTTGGAAGAGTTTGTGAAGGATAGGCACCAATTCCTCTCTGAATGTTTGGTAGAATTCATTTGTAAATCCATCAGGTCCTGGGCTTTTGTTTTTGGGGAGGTTTTTGATTACCATTTCAATTTCGCTAATTGTAATTGGTCTGTTTAGGTGTTCTATTTCTTCTTTATCTAGCTTTGGGTGATTGTAGAATTGTAGGAATTTGTCCATCTCCTCTAGATTGTTGAACTTGTTTCCATATAACTGTTCATAGTAGTTATTAATTATTCTTTTGATTTCTGCTGTGTCCGTTGTGATTTCTCCTCTTTCATTTATTATCCTATTTATTTGTGCTTTCTCCCTTTTTGCCCTTGTGAGCCTGGCTAGGGGTTTATCTATTTTATTTATTTTTTCGAAGAACCAGCTCTTGGTTTCATTGATCTTTTGGATTGTTTTTTTAGTTTCGATTTCATTTATTTCTGCTTTGGTTTTTATTATTTCTTTTCTTCTACTGGTTTTGGGGTTTTTTTGTTGTTCTTTTTCTAGATCTTTGAGCTTCGAGATTAGGTTGTTTCTTTGAGTTCTTTCTTGTTTCTTGATGTGAGCATCTATTGCTATATATTTTCCTCTTATTACTGCTTTTGCTGCATCCCATATATTTAGGATATTGGTGTCCTCCTTGTCATTCAATTCAAAGAATCTTTTAATTTCTTCTTTTATCTCCTCGTTAGTCCAGTGGACTTCCAGTAGTGTGGGTTTCAATCTCCACGAGGTAGGAGAGTACCTTGCCTTCTTTTTATGGTTTATCTCTAGTTTGATGCCTTCATGGTCAGAAAAGATGGTTGGTATGATTTCAATCTTGGTGTATCTGTTGATGTTTGTCTTGTGCCCCAGTATATGATCGATCCTAGAGAATGATCCATGTGCGCTTGAGAAAAATGTATAATCAGATTTTTTTGGGTTTAGTGTTCTATATATGTCTGTTAAGCCCAAGCACTCTAGATCCTTATTTAGAGCTTTAGTGTCTTTACTTATTTTTTGTCTTGTTGATCTATCCATTGTTGATAGTGGTGTGTTGAAGTCTCCCACTACGTATGTGTTTTCTCTGATGTCTGTTTTCAGAGATGCCAATAGTTGTCTGATATATTTTGGTGCTCCTTCGTTTGGTGAATATATGTTAATGAGTGTTATTTCTTCTTGAAGTATTGTCCCTTGATCATAATGTAATGACCACTGGGGTCTCTTTTTATCTTTTTAAGTTTGAAATCTGTTTTATCTGATATGAGTATAGCTGTTCCTGCCTTCTTTTTTGGTCCATTTGCTTGTAGAATTGTTTTCCATCCTTTAACTTTGAGTCTATTTTTATCTTTTGCAGCTAAATGTGTTTCCTGGAGACAGCAAAAGGTTGGGTTTTGTTTCTTAATCCAGGCTGCAACTCTGTGTCTTTTTATTGAAGAGTTTAGTCCATTTACATTTAGAGTTAGTATTGATATGTTAGCATCTGTATTTGCCATTGTGTTTGTCTTTCCTTTGATTTTATTTATTTATTCTTTTAATAACTTTCTTTGGCCTTCTTTTGTTGTTATTCGTCCCTCTGAGGTTCTGGCTTTAGGACTCCTTGTAGTATTTTTTGGAGTGGGGGTTTAGTCGCAATGAAATTCCAGAGTTTCTGTTTGTCTGGGAAGGTCCTTATTCTTTCTTCAAAGAGGAAGGAGAGCTTTGCGGGATAGAGTATTCTTGGTTGGCATCTGTTTTCTTGGAGTCTGTTGACTATGTCCCTCCACTCTCTCCTTGCCCGTAGTGTTTCTTCAGAGAAGTCTGATGTCAGTCTGATTGGTTTCCCTTTGAATGTTATCTGTTTCTTCCCTCTTGTTAGTTTCATTATTTTTTCCTTGTCTTGGATTCTTGGGAGCTTTACTATTATGTGTCTTGCTGTATTTTTCCTTTCATCATGGGAGTTTGGTGTTCTTCTTGCTTCTTGTATATCAATTTTCAGCTCCTTCTTCGCGTTTGGGAAGTTCTCTTCAATTATATCCATGAATATTTTCTCTGTTCTTACATCTCTCTCCTCTCCTTCTGGGATTCCTATAACTCTTATATTTCCTTTCCTCATGGAGTCAGATAGTTCCCGAAGTCTTTCTTCGGTCTTTTTCCTTCGTACTTCTCCTTCCTTTTCTGTTTTAGTTCTTTTTATTTCTGTGTCTTCAGGAGTACTTATTTGTTCTTCCATTTCATCTATTCTGCTTTCATTGCTTTTCCCAGAGTTCTTTAGCGTCTCCATTAATTCTTTGATCTCCTGCATTTCTTTTACTTCCCTCTTTAGGGACTCAATTTCATTCTTCTGGTCATTAATTATTTTCCCCTTATCATTGTTTTCCTTTATGACTTCTGTCAGTTTTTTAATCACAGCAATTTTAAATTCGCTATCTGAAAGGCTCAGAAGTTCTTCCAAGTTACTGTCGTTGCAATCTGGTAGATGGTTTTCTTTTTGCGGTGTGCTTTTTTGCTGAGGAGTTGCTGGGTTGCATGTGGTTTTTCTACTCCCTACTGCCTGTTTTCTAATTTGCCGTATTCCTTGTGACGCTGTGTTGCTGGTACTGGCCGGCATCTTGGGCGACCTTCCCAGCTCACCACTGGCTCCTCTGGGGAACTTCTGCTGGGTTCACAAGTCTCCAGCAAAGAAAGTTCCCTGCTGCAAAATGGCGATGCGGGAACGTGCTCCCCTGCACGCCCGGTCTGCCCCAGCGGTGGGTGCTGCTCCCCTCTGGGCTGGAACTGCAGGCTAGAAGGCGCCTGGCATGGGCAAGCCTCCCAGCTTACCTCTGTCTCCTCGGTGAGCCTTCTGCTGGGTTCACACAGTCTCCAGCAAGAAAGGTCCCTGCTACAAAATGCCGGTGCAGGGGACGCGCTCCCCTGCACGCCCGGTCTCCCATCTGAAGTTTTAAGATTTTTTTTCTATATCTACAAAAAATGCTATTGGGATTTTCATGAGGATTACACTAACCCTGTAGATCTCTTTGAGTAATGTTGACATGTTGACAGTATTAAGTTTTCCAGTCCATGAACATCGTGAAAGATAGAAATACTATCCACTTTGGCATACAGGTTGTTTTGACTTCTCTTGATTGGCTTTTAGTTTTCCATACTAAGGTGATACTTGACATGACCACTCGAGGCATATTGGGAGAAGCCTATCTGATCCTTTTGGAAAGACCAACCCCTCACTATATAAGCCCAAGTTATAACTACATCTTTGACTTACTCATCACTGGGCACGCCCATATGTATGTATAATGCATGTATTAATAAATTTGTTCTCATTAATCTTTTATCAGTCTAATTTTCAGTGCCTCAGCCAATGAAACTGAGATGAAATTTTTTTCAGACTTCATGTCTTTTCATTGATTTGTATCTTCTTCAGTTTCTTGTAGGAATGTATGTGTAGTTTTCAGCATACAAATCTTTTGTTTCCTTGGTTATATTTATTTCTATATATTTTATTCTTTTTGATGCTACTATAAATGGAATTGCTTTCATAACTTCCTTTTCAAACTTTCATGGTTAGTGTATAAAAATACAACTAATTTTTTTAATATTGATTTTGTATCCTACAACTATGCTGAATTCATTTATTCTAGCAAGTTCTTTGGTGGAATTTTTAGGGTTTTCAACATATAAAATCACATTACCTATGAATAGAGTTACTTATTCCTTACTGATTTGGATGACTTTTATCTATTTTTCTTACCTAATTGCTCTAGTATGACTGCCAGTACTATGCTGAGTACAAGTGGTAAGAATGGGCATTCTTACTTTTTTCCTGATATTAGAGGGAAAGTTTTCAATTTTTCAATGAGCTTTTGAGCTTTTCTTATGAGGCTTTTTTTATGTTATGGCAATTTCCCTCATAGTTTATTGGATGAATTAGAGATATTTTTATGGTTTTGTTATAGGACAGGGAGAGGGGCAGACCAAACCCCGCAAACCTGCCTATTCTAAATGGGTTCTGCCATCCGCTGCATCAACACAAAACATAGGAGATTTTAATGGGAAGGAACTTTAATAAAACTAGGAAACAATACAGGAAAGGCAAAGAGTCTAGTTTCTAAATGAAGCACCCAAAGTTACCCCCTCGTGGGTAAAAGTCCATCCATACGGAAATGGCCCAGAGCAAGACCCCAAAGCCTGCCACAAGTCTAAAGCATCTTCCAGTGGGGACCCACAGAAAAGGGTCAGGAACAACCAGACAAGCCCTGAAGGAAAAGAGCAAAATCAACATCAAGATAAAAGCTGCCATTGTCACCTCCCCATGGGTCTCACCCACATCTGTGTCACCTAGTCCATGACCAAAACAAGCGCAGTTTTTTCACTTGTCTCTAGGCTCCATGCGCCTCCTCCAGATCTCCTGGCTCCATCCTGCTTCCTTCCTCAGTCTCTTCTGCAGCTTCTCCTCTCCCTACTCAGCTCTACCCTCCCTTGGGTGGGGCAGGGAACCTCCCCCTTTCCTGGGGACCACCCTGTTACAGTTTCACCTTTGCTTAAGAATCTGATGTAAAGTCAAGTTATAGTATAGATTATTTATAATTGTTGTGATTTATCTCCCTGAAGTTTTAAAATTCCAAATTTTCCAAATTCAGAGCAAATCATTTGAAAATTTCAGAGAAATACGAGGACACAAGGAAAAAAATTACCCATGATTCTATTGTTTAACTTTTCCTCCAGTTTAACTTCTTTGTCTTTTTTTCTTCAGGTAACTTGGCCCAGACAAGAGCCCGGATAACAGCAGCCTCAAGATCTTTGCCTCCACATTTCAGTGCTGGGAGAGCCAAGGTAAGGGCCAAGGTCCAAAATAATATATACCACAGAGTGTTTCTGCCTTGGGGATAGCTAAGAGTAGGTAACATTTTTTCCCTTTACCTGTTCAGCTACCTGGGCAATTGCAAAAGAGGTTGAATGTATTTAGAGAATCAGGATCAGGAAATTTGAAACATCATAGAATACTTATAATCATGTGTCAGAGAGGAAAAATTTTTCCTCTACCTTCTTAAATTTAGGAGTTGAGTTCCTGTGAATTAGCTCAAACTGACAGATTAACAGGAGATAAAGCCAGAGTTTTAATCATGTACATATAGAAGCTTACTGAAAAAACTTGACTCAAAAGGGTAGTTAGAATTTGGGACTCTATACCATTTTAAGGAATGAAGAGGAGGAGAAGGGTGTACCTTAGGGAGAACAAATGACTTTTGGGGAAAAGTAATGGTGCTTTAGAAGAACAGATGGGAGGTATGGTAGTTTTATGATAATCTCTAGTTAGGCGATTTCTTTTTCCAGTGCTGGCTTCTTATCTTTGTGATAGTTGCCATCTTTCTTTCCTGGTTGCAAAACTCCCAGGGAGACAATATATGGCAGTTTTATTCTTTTGGGAGGCTCTGGTTTTAGGTAAATAAGGGGGATTCAGAAAAACTATATTGATTTGCGCATGCTTCAGTGCAAAATAATCCTCTATCATGTGGCATGTTCTGTACTTCTTTAACTGATCCTCAAAAGAACATTTAAGATATAAAACAATGATACTTGAAAATAAAGTCTATGCAAAAAGAGAGGAAACACTTTTCCTTGAGGCTATCACCACCCTATAGAGGAGGTTAACAGGTACCAAATGGAGTCAGCAGGGAGGAAAGGAACCAGACAGCTTCCCATTGCTCTGCTTTGCTCTCTGAAAAATGAGTGGTGAATTTGTCTATGCAAAGGGGATGTTAGAAGAGTTAATAGATGTCCTATAAAATATTTTTAACTGTTCAATCCTTCCAACCAATGATTAGTAAGAATATCAAAAATTCAGTGCCTAAGGTTGATTATATATATTAACACCAAGAAATCTTGAAGTGATGGGGTAATACAATAGAACACATCTTCTGAATTTTCTTATATTTTGTTTATATTAAATTATATAATAGTTTATTTTTTAAATAATAGTTTATGTAATAAAAAATAAGCAATTCATGGGCCTCCCCTGGTGGCACAGGCAGTTGAGCGTCATGCTGTGAAGCTCTCTGCAGCCTCTGCAGCGCGGTTCGATCCCAGCTGGCCGGCGAGGGTCCCACATGGCGCAGCAGACCTCTCCTGTCGTGCCCGCTGCTCCCCTCAGCAGTGTATTTTGTCAGTCTGCCTGTTCTGTTCCCCGCTCTGTCTCTGGTGAATCCTTTCACCCTCCCGCGCATCTGACCTGTACCCCGGGTCTTGTGTAAATTAATAAATAAATCTTAAAAAAAAAAAAAGAATAAGCAATTCAGCGACACACTAGATATTATCCCAAAATTGATACAGACATACATATATACTTATTTCCTCTAAGAATTAAAGTATTACATGTATATAATAGGAACTCAGGTCATTTTTGTAAAAAATTGATTCTGTACCCCATTGCTATTACAATCTAGTAGTACTCTACTTTTCAACTTGGCAAGTTTGTAGCAAAATATTAGGGCTATTTAACATGAGTTATATGGACCCCTGAAAGAGATTTACATAGTTTTTTTAAGACCTCCAGCATAATCAGCACCACTACCACAGGCCAGGTGTCAGTACCAGTATTGCTTCCCCATTCAGTGCTATATAATCTTTTGAGATGAGTGAGACTCTAGGGATTTTTTTCTATAAGAGTTAGAAGGATCACTTGATAGCAGTAAAAAATCTTGACAAAACACCTGTCAAATAAGACAAATATAAGAACTTCAGAGGTTTCAGAAAACAAATAGTGAGCACTTACCTAGACCAGGAAAAAAATCCTTCCATTATTCACTTATTGCCAAAATGTAGATGTTTTGTGAGAATTTTTTGGGTCTTATGTTTTTATGCTGGACAAATACTGTGCTTTCAGACTGATTTCACAAGTTAGTGAGTTAAATTTTGTACATTCAGGATGATTTTTAGGTCATATCAAACCACACGTAAAGGCAGATCTGTTTAAGAAGTAGGGTTTCAAAAACAGAAGTGGGTTTGGATCCAGATGTGGCCAATTACTGGCTGCCAGACTCTGGAAAATTTACCTAAAATCTCTGAGCCTTAACTTCCTTATATGTAATATGGCACTAATGATAGGGTCGTTTTGAAAATTCAATGCTATAACATAGGCAAGGTATTTAGTGCAGTGATTTCATATCAGAAACAATAAATGTTTTATTGCTCATATTTGGATAGCCATCTAAAACCCCATGCATGGAGGCCATGTGTGTACAGAAGCTTGCTCATTTCCTGCGGGCTTGGGTCTGTCCCATAATTTGTGAAGTTTGTTCATGACTACTTTGAAGGCTGAGATTACTGGCATGGGAGCTAATACTTGCCTTCTGCCTTTCCATGCACCCTTGATATTGACCACTAAACTAACACTAGATGGAGCAAGGTAATGATGCAAGAGGGCTGACGTTACTTCTTTCATGTGTACAGGGCAGTAGTTTTTACTAATCAGTTTTTTCTAGTTAGGAAATCAGAGATTCTGAGAAATCCAATACTACATATAATAAGTAGAAAATCCTCAATTTGAAGGTGTGCTCAATTCTAAAACTCTTTGCTACAGAACATGTAATCCCTGAACCTAGGAAAGCTGTTTTCTTTTCCTCCTATCTGAGGTAAAAAAGTCTAAGATTCTTTGTAGAGGCCTGTTTTGTGTTTTTTTCATTTTGACATCTCCATCTTTGGAAAGAAGTATTTGCTAGATGATGCCCCTAATAGAATCCACTTCCTGGATTGTTTCTCAAGGCTTTTTTTTTTTTTTTTTTTTTTTTTTAATTAAATGAGGCTACTATTAACTAAATTAGCTCAGGAAGATAAGCTCTCAAGTTAGCTCTCAGCTCTTTGGGTTTTGATTTTTCAAAGTTCATTGGAGTTCTTTTGAGCTTGTGGTAGGCCTGATATAGATGGGTATCCTAATTTGAAGGCCAAAATAGCTGACTTGTGGTATGGCCATTGTTTAAAATTCCCTTTTTAGTTTTTATTAATTTTTTTTCAAGCCATGCAAGTAAGAAAACTTTATAAAATCAGGTTTGTGGTACTATTGAAGTCAGTTTCCTAATTTCAAAAAGCCAAGCCAAAGTAAAGCATGCTGATTTACATGCTTCCTTAGGTATTTCAGCTGTTTAAATTGTATGCATTTTTCACTATTTGGAAAGTGCATTAGAATTCTCATCCTATAAAACCAATAATTTTTTCTCCACTAATAATTTTAGATCTGATATTTTTTCTGAGCATTCTTCTTTTATATCATTTATCACAGATCGAACAATATTTACATAGTGGTTTAGTTCCTAATCCTTCATAACAAATTCAGTTATTGCCTGGTTCATACTGTATTCACTTCAGTCTGAGTTTCCTCAAGATAAAAAGCAGCACTAGAAGAGATGTCTATTCCAGAGCTGATGCAGGATTAGAAGCATTTCAAGGAAGTGAGAGCAAATTCTATACCATTGAAGCATATAAAACCAACTGAACTTGAACTTGAACAGCCTGGCATCTTGAAATCTTTACCATGTGACATATTTCCATCTGATTGCACCCTGAATTCCCACAAATGGACCCCAACTCCCTCCTCTAAAATTCCCTCTTTAAATCCTCTCCATGATCAGTAGTCATCAAGAGACCCTTAACCGACCTTTCCAAATTTTTACGTTAGAAAATGCCCCCCAATAGCAGATTATCTAGATTTTAAAATGTAGTGCTAAATATGTAGGTGATGAACTGTAAGCATTAGCATTTCCAGATTATATATAACACAGAACAGGTTTTCACTTACTTCCCAAGAATCACGTATGTGAGCACCAGGACAGAACTTGAAGTCATGCTAGATAGTTAGGCAGTGTCCCCACTTTTGGAATATAAATTGGCATCTCATTCTATATTTTTCCAGTTTGCAGCAGGAGCCAGGTACTGATCTTGAAAACAATACATATTGTATCTTTGAAATTGCATCTCAAGTCCTCCCTGGTGGCCTAGGGGCTAAGTCTCAGGCTATCACTGCTATAGCCTGACTTGGATTACTGACCAGGGAGCTGATCCACTTGTGGCACAGCAGAGCTCTCCTGTTTCACCCGCTGCTCCCCTCAGCAGTGTATTTCAGTAGATTCTCCTGTTCTGCTCCCCACTCAGTCTCCGGTGAATCCTCTTACCACCTCCCCCCCACTCTGGCCTACACCCCAGTTCTTCTATGAAGAAATAAATAAATAAGTCTATAAAAAATTATGTTAACAGCAGAATTAATATACAACAAGGATTTTCTGTTCTCTAAACTGTTAAATTCTTAAATGCCAGAGTTCTGAGGGAGGGTCACAGGAAATTCTTTTAAAAGAGAAGTAAGGATGAGCTCTTTTCAGCTGCCCTTTCAATATGCACTAAAGCCAGAGGGGCTGGCACTTGCTGGCTAATTTGAATAAAAAGGGAGGGAAATGAAGGAGGAAAAGCTAGAGTCAAAGCAAGATAGCATTCTTTAGGTAGGGTCTCTGAATAAAAGGAATGGTAGAGAAATTCCCAAAAGTTGTGTGTGTGCATTGTATATATAAAAATCAGGTAGGAAGGAAAAGAAAATAAGGGTAAAAAATTTAAGAAAACGCTCAGAATTTAAATTCAGACATAAAGCCAAACTGGATTCAAGACCTCCTTACCTTCAGACCTGGTTAACTGGCCCCAAATTTCATCATCTTGGGGCTCTGATTTCCAAGTAGGGGTGATATGAGGAAAGAGCTGTCAGTATATTCCCAGCAGAAGGCACTCTGATGTCTTCAGGTCAGGTGGGTGTGTAGTGTTTGTTTTCTCTTTTCTATGTTAAAATAGCCTTCCTTCTTAACACTGAGCTTTCATTTCCTCCCTTCTCATTAAAAAAATTAAAAAGTCAGACCTGCAGGCAGTTGTACCACTGCATCAAGTGCATACAAATGGACCCACTGTTTTGGGAATGTATCCAACGGGCAGCCCAGAAAAAGAAAGCTGCACTGCTTCTCACATCCCAGTATTTCTTGCACAGTAGTTAGATTGCTTTTCTAGTTTCTGAAAATTTCATTCCGTATTTATTCCCCTTCTTAATAAACCTGTCTTCTTTATTCAAACCAACTGATGTGTTTGCTTTCATTGTGAACATAGTCTCACAAATACCCCTTTAGCTAAGCCTCATTATTCACCCCCTTCCTAATACCTTTGTGCCTTCTAGCATCCACTTTTCACTTCTCTTGATCAAGGCTGCAGACCTTGATCAAGAGGTCTTATGATATGCCCCATGGGGAGGTTGCTGCCTGGACAGCAGTCCATGGAGCGGAACACACGTGCTGACAGCAGCATCTTCCAGTCAAATGTTCCTGCTTCATACCCTTGCCACCTGTTCAGAGCAGATGGGAAGCTGCCACGGTGGAGGCCGGTGCTGAAATGCCACTTGTGCACTCTGCAAACCAAATAGCTTTGTGTGTATGGGAGCAGGGTTTCTTCTTGTTAACTCAGGCTGCTTGTAATTGATTCCTACTATTGTTTTCACTTATAAATTCCTTCCAGTCAGCCCAGGTAGTTGAGATAGATGATCAGAGATGGTTGTATCCCAAGCTCTGGATTTTGGTGAGCACGTGGGACCTGTGGAGGCCAGAGGGTTGTGGCAATGTCAGGGTCTGATGGCAGAATGGTGTCTAGAGCTCACCTAAATTTCCTGCAGTTCAACCTGGACTTTTGGCCCATATCTTTCAAACCACCCAGTCTCATGGGTCTTTGGCCAGTTTCCTTTTAGGAAAAGTTTGGTCCATGTGACATTATCGGAGAATTTAAAAGGAGCTCATTAGAACATGGAGAAGTGTAAAATAGTGCTGATGGGGCTTAAACCATTACCATATGGTATATCACAAGAGTGTGGTCATTGTCAAATGAGTAGACTACGGCAAATTCTATTTTTCTTCTAAATTTCTCCCCAAAGTATTCATTATTATTTTCTAAACATCAAGGCTCCTCAGATATTTGACCAAACAACCTTTTAGATTTTGGAAAATCCAGAAAATGAATTGTCTGTACCTCAAACCACTTCCCTCTACCTGTTCTGCAGGTGGATACTTTGGAGGTGGTTCGGCATCCAGAGGAAACCACCAACATGAAGAGGCAGACCATGGCTTCTTACTTCCGGGTATGAAGACTTCTTCATCTCTATTCTGCTTGCTTCCGGAAAGAGCTCCTTGACCATTCTCATGAGAGATTCAGATCTTATAGAGTCATTGAAATGACAAATCACAACAATGAGATCTGGAAGACAGAGGTGCTGAGATAAGAAAATTACAGCCGGGAATCTACTGCTAAGTGCAATGTTCTCTGACTTCAGAAAGATTAGATGAAATCCCAAGTGTCTCAGAGGACCCTCTCTGACTCTGGGTGCAGAGACCTGTTCATTGAATGCACTGATTCTGTTAGCATTAGGCTGTCTCTTGGCCTTGAAGCCACTGTAGTCAGTCACTTTTCCATATTTACTGAAAAATAAAATAGTTAATAAAAATTCCAGGAGGTCACATATTACATTTAGATCCCAAGAGAATCTGTCTTAGTTTTGACTTTGGTTTCCTACATTTTGTTGATTCATTGCAAGACCCATCTGCCTGAATCCATTTTTTCCCCATTTTTGCTGCCCCAATTCCTAATATTTTGTCCCGTCAAGTGACTGCTGTCACTAAAAACATTTTCTCTACAAGGGCTCTTTTATTTATTTATTTTTTATTTATATATATTTTACATCATTGTTCCTTTTTAAGCAATGTTTGCTTAGAAAGGCTCTTTTAAAGGCACACTGTATAGGAAAGATAAGTCACAAGCCCAGATTTGTTTGCACAGATTTGTTTATCTTCATATTATAAAGTATTAAACAAAGTCCCTTGGAGATCGTAATACCACTGAGCTAAGATCCAGGCAACCTCATGATGGAGATGTTGTTAGGCCAAAGACAGAACTACTAATCGCAGGGGCAAGAGAATAAGGTTGTAAGGTAGGGTTACCATGGGAAGGAGCTCTCCAGGGATGGGAAGTCAGATAAGCTAGGGACGCCAGGCCAAAAGGCTGAAGGGCAATGCCTGTAGCCAGCACCACAGATGAAAGGCTCCATGGAAAGCTAAGCTGTTAAAGAAGGATCTAGAGCCAAGAAATCTGCCTTAACCAATTGTGCTTTAGAACCAGACTTCTATTGTGATCAGAGTATGAATTGCAGGGGCCCAGAGGCCTTTTAGTAGAATATTCCGTCCATGTAGTGATCCCTGCTACAGATTCAGCCCTTGTTTCATTACTCTTGTGTTTGGATATTTCCAATTGCTGCTATTCTCTTGAGTCCCACCTTGATTTGGTTAACTTTCTCAACTGTGTCTTCCTTATCTCTTTGTGTGTGTTTGTCTCTCTCTCTCTCTCTCTTTCTCTCTCTCTCTCTCTGTCTGTCTGTCTGATGGGATTTGGAAGCTCTGAGTCTCTCTGAAGTCGTCGCAAGATCCTAGAGTTCCTTTATTAGCAGAGAAAGTTCTGGCTTCTAGCTCTTCAGAAATAAAAGCCAGTATAATGTAGCCAGTATAATGTCTTTAAAATCCTGGTCCCCAAATGCTAAATGTGAGAAGTAAGCTTCATTGGAATATAGGTATAATCATTTTGGATCATTCGGAGGTGTGATTATAAAATAATGGGGTTGATTTCCTCTGTGTCTTGTAATTGCCCCTGAAGGCATGTCCAAAAGAGGACTCCAGATGTGGATGTCCCCAAGAAGCAATGAGGGCCTCATCTGCACAGCCCCCTCCTGCTTTTCCATTCCTTCTCTCTGTGAGGGCCTCATGGCAGCTATTCTTTGTATATTAGTTGATCTTTATTATAACCTCTTGTCCAAATTTTTTTCTTTTCTTTGCCCTCTTTCTGTATTCTCTTGTTTATCCTCTGCCTTACTATCAATGTTATCTTAGATTTTCTAGTGGTTTTTAGGTTAAAGAGGCAGCTGATCCCTTCCTTGAAAACTGGGCATTTTAAATTACAGGTATGATTTGTAAAGTATCACCTTGGAATACCAGTTCTGGTGATGGAGTTATGGTTTCTTATTTGGTTTCAAAATCATCTGTGAGTTGTTTACAGACCAATAAATTGCTATGAAGACCTATATTGTATTCATCTATTATGCCTATGGTAACCTTATTTCTTGTGCATTTTGCCCCCATAGTATTCTCTCATGGATCTACTCTCCAAAATGGTGGTTGGACAGCCCCATTTTGTGCGCTGCATCAAACCCAATGATGACCGAGAAGCCTTGAAATTCTCCCGAGAGAGAGTTCTGGCCCAACTTCGCTCCACTGGGATCCTGGAGACAGTCAGCATTCGCCGGCAAGGGTATTCCCACCGCATCCTCTTTGAAGAGTTTGTGAAAAGGTCAGTCGAATATTTGGAAATAGAATTTATTAAATATAGCTGAGCCATAGCCATCCCTGTCCCCTGGGAACTGCTACTTTTGCCCACTTGCCTCTAAACACGTAATTGGCAGTTAACAGCTACCATTTGCTTGCTTAAATGTTGCAGTTATCTGGAGGACTTTTTGATCACATTTTAAAATTTAAAATGTCCACAAATATCCTTAGGTTTCAAAGTCTCCTGGTATTTAATTGGTACATTGAAAGTATCTCTCCAAATGTGAATAAAGATTCTGGCAAAGCACCTACTCCTCTCCCAGGATCTGGTATGATATAATGATAGCTAGTATTTATTTACACAGCACCTAAAATGTAATTTCTTTTAATTTATAGAATAACCCTTTAAACTAGTCTATGTTACTATTCCAGCTTTACAGATGAGACAATTGAGGCACAGAAAGAAATTAAATGATTTTTCCAAGGTCCCATGCTAATAAGTGAGAGAGCCAAAATTTGAATCCATGTAGCTAGTTTTAGTGTCCACATCCTTTTGATCTGCTCAGCCCACTGTATTCAATCGATGTTTATTGAACTGTATTGATATGGAGCTTTCTAAACTCAGAAACTAACTTTACCTAAGAGTGAAATATTGCTCTTTTTGCATGGTCGCCTAAGGTATACCTTGACTATTCATGGGATTACAGGTAGAATTTTAGCAAAACTTTCTATAACGATAAAGGAATAACAATAGTGAAAAACCTCCTTGAGACTCACTGCTTTCTGAGGGTACCTACAGCAGAAAATGAAAGTCCACATCCCAGAAGCCATCTTTAGTGTTTTGTTTTGTTTTTTAACTTCCATACTGAATCTTTCACCCAATGTGTTTTTTCATCTACTCTTAGGGTGGAATGATCCTAATACGGTAGCTTCAAGTCTTCCAAACATCACTAAATTCCATGAAGAAGAAAGAAAAAAAAATGTTCCTTGTGTTGAAAAATTTTAAATTAAAAATGAAATGGATTTTTAAAATGCAATTTAATTGAGCCTCTTTTTTCCTCTTAAATATGGAAATAGGAAAAGGAAGAGGTTATTTTAGCACATGAATGTGGCTAGTCAAGTATTTTTAGCCACTAATATTGGATACATAAAAATATTTAAGAAAACAGGTCAAATGCTAAACAGATTGGCACTTCTTTGTTCGCAATCAGAAAGCCATTAGGCAAGTATGAACAAGAGTTTCGAAATGTCAGTAAATCTGAGGGTATCAAAGATTTTGAGCCAGCAAGTTAATTGGTATTTTGATCCTTTTGAACAACTTAACAACAAAATGGATGAGTTAGCAGTTTTCCCCTTGATGTTATTCAACAAATAGGAGTGCCTCTTATCTTCCTGTTCAGGAGAGCTGTTTTGTAAACTCTTAGCAGGAAATATGCAGACAAAACAATCAAAGGCAGGGAACAGAGCCATTCAAGATTTATCAGGTGGAGGTAAATAAAAGATAAAGTCTTATTTAATGTTACTCTCTGCTTTTTTTTTGTATTTTCTGGCATTAGATACTTACCTAAGTTACCCAAGGTTGCAGACCTGGCAAATCTAAAATGCTTCCCTGCCCCTCTCATCCTTGAATTTTCTAGCAAAATGACTCAGAAGTTGCCTTTCTATTCCCCATTTATGGAGCCTTCCAGGAAAGCATCCTTCCCAGCAACTTCTCACCAATGGGGGCCTGGAGGTTAGAAGAGTTTACCTAGTCTCAGCTAGGCATGAAAGAGTTTATCTGGAAGTGTTGGGCAGGTAGCTGAAAATTCCTGGAAATCATACTGTTGAGGTACATCACAAAAAATGACAACATTCCTTGTCTTCATGGTCTATGGGCTCTGAAGCATTGTCCAGCAGAAGGTCTACGCTTTGGCAAACACATAGAACTCCATGTGTGAGGATATGTTCTGGCAAATGTCTAAAGAACAGAAAAGCACATTCAGTTCAAAGTCTAATGGCTTATGCTTATATTAAACTATTGTAGTAAATAGTGTGACTTAGTAAGGAGACCTGAATTTTACTCTCTTCATGGACATATTTGGCCTTAACCTATTATTTCAATAAAAGATATTTCCTCATCTTTATGACAGAAAGGCAGGGATTCATAGAGCCAGCATCCTGAAAATTTTCAAGGATCCTGTGCAGATTCCTGAATTTGCATAGCCTTTAACTTTTTTAAGAGAAGCTCACCTCTACCAATCAAACTCACAGGCGGGAGAACTGCACCTCCCACTTCAAAACAGTTGCTAAATCAATGTCTATTAAATAGAGTAAAATTCTTAAATTCTTCCATCTTCTCTTTCATCAGTAATTTCTGGGTTTTTCTCATAATGTTGTGAGAGCCCTGGTACATCGGCAGTTCCTTCATCTCATTCGCCCTTCTATTTCTCCACTTCCTTTCTAGAAACCTAGCAATCAACTTTGACCTTTCATTTTTCCAATCTGTCTCCAAGCCCTGGTGACTTTAGAAGTTTAAATTCTTCCACAAAGTTCCCTTGGAAACCTAGAAGAGCAACAACTTAATTGAGATACAATGTACAAATGATAAAAATCACCCTCTTATGGTACACAATTCTGAGGTTTTATATTCACAGGGCTGTACAGTGTATATCTCCACTGTGATCCTAACTTGTGCATATGCCTCTCCTTCTCATGTGCCTATACCACTCCTTTGGAGCTATATTTATTCAAATCCTGTGCCAGTTTAATTTTTTATTTTCATGTTTTCTGGATACTAGTCCCTTGTTAATATATTTTCTTCATTATATTTCTAATATTATTATTATTGTTTCTTCCATTTTGTGGGTGTCATCTTAATTTCTTGAATGCATCTTCTGAACACAAAAAGTTTAAAATTTTGACATAGTCCAGTTTATGTTTTCTTCTGTTGCTTGTGCCTTTGGTGCTATATCTAAGGAACCATTGCTTAATCTGAGGTCATAAAGATTTACTTGTGTTTCCTCTAAGAGTCTTCTAGTGTTAGGTCTGATATTTGGATCTGTGGTCCATATTGAATTCATCTTTGCATATGATGTGAGGTAGTGATCCAGTCATTCTAATGTACATAGATATTCAGCTTTTCCATTTGTTTCCCAATGCTGTTCTTTCCTCTGTTGAATTGTTGACATCTTTGCTAAAAATAAATTGGCTATAAAAGTAAGGCTTTATTTCTGAATTCTCAGTTCAGTTCCATTTATATCTTGTCTATGTCATTTAAAACTCTTTTGTCCACCCTCTTGACATAGTTTCTTAAATGGACATCCTACCAATTCTGTTCTCTAAAGAGCTACCAGAATATGATTTACCTAAAATACTTTTCTAAGTATGTTGTTTCCTTGATTAAAGTTCTTAAAATAACCACCCAAAACCTCTACTAGATAAATTTAATTTCCTTTGCCTGATACATGGAGAGCCTCGTTGATCTGGCCCCTACCCACTTTTACGGTCTCTTCTTTCTTGTCTTCCCAGCTCACATGCCAACAAAAACTGAATTTCTTGGAGCCCCATAACCACTCTATGCTGTTCCATACTTTAATGTCTTTGCTTTTGCTATTTTGCCTGTACTTCTTTTCTCCAAGTCCTCTGTCAGCTGACTTTATCAAGCAAACCTCTGCCTTGACTTTGGACAGGCATTCTGTTAACTTGTAGGCTATCCTTGACTCCCCCACACTAGGTTAGGAGTCCTTCTGATGACCTTTGTTAGAAGTGCTTACTACATTGTAGTGTATTTCTGCCTGTCTTGCTTTAAACTAACTGCTTACAATGCAGGAATATTGTTCAGCTTTACATTTATATTGTCTAGTTCAGTGTCTGATGCAAATTACTTAATAAACATTTATAGAATTTACCAGTGCATGCCTTTTTGCCTCATTACTATTTTCTTTTATCATCAGGTTGAGTCTTTGTCCCTTACCCTTTTGAAGTTCATTAAGTTATATGGACTTGGCTTAGTTCAGATTAAATTGCATGGTAAAGTAGGGCCTAGATTATTATAGCATAAGTTTTTAGGTAAGTCATAAATAGTTGTTTTTTAAAATTAAAAAAAAGTACAAAATGATAAATAAGTTAATACATGGTCTCTAACTCAGCCTGAAAATGCTATTATTAGAGTTTAATATATTAAAAGGGTGACATTTAATCAAATTTGCCTTCCTCTTCTCTATAGCAAACTTATTTTTATGGTAATCCAAAGAGAGGCAAACTTTAAAGTACAAGGGAGATTATTTGCTCTGGCTCTCATTTGACATTCTAGCCTCTTAGCTCACACTCCAGAAAAAAAAAAATGAACCACTTAGAGCTCCCTAATAGCACAAAATATGTCTCATTAAGGCAATATCCTGTAAAAGCAGGCTACTTAGTGTATTAGTCAAGAATTTTTCAATAACAAGTGATTGAAACAATTCAAATGAGTTGAAGCAAAAATTAAAAAAGAGGTGGGTGATATATTGGCTTACATAACTAGGAAGTTCAAAGATATGTCTGAATCCAGGATAGCAAGTAATTTTACCAAACCATTTTCTTTTTTCCTTTATTAGCTATTTTCTTCTTTTCGACTAGGCACCCCTTCCTCACATACAAAAATAATGCCTGGAAGATCCTGTGGAAAGCTTCCTATAGGCTTAGCAACATCAACAGCGGGCAAATTCCTATAGGCTTAGCAACATCAACAGCGGGCAAATTCCTTTGAGTCCCCACAGAAGGAACCCTCTGGTTCTTTCATCTTGGGTTACATTACATGTCCATGTTTAAAACAGTAACTGTGCCCAAGGGAATAATGATAGGGCCTTCAGTCAAGTGTCAAGGTATAGAATCACCCCTACTTGAACCATGGCCTAACAGGTTCTCTTAAAAGAAATTGGGAGAAGATAAATAAGCTAAAACATTAGGTATCCATTAACGCTTGTTTTGACTCTTTGACCCTAGAACCAACTGTAACAGTACATAAAGATTTACCCCAATCTGGAGAGCTATCTACCTTAGAGGAAA